ACTTACTTGAGGCCATGGAAAAGGCGCTAGGTGGCGCCCATCGTCTTTAGTGGGTGGACTGGCCACGATCCGGCGCATCTCGCAACGTGTGCGATGGGTGCCTGTGCTCACCGACTTTGGTCAGCGAAGCGTGCAGCAAACTTGGGAAGAGGGCGGAAGAAGAACGCGGAACAGAGAGGGCGACAGAGCGGGAGAGCTAGTCATTGCTTGATCGGAGCCGGTCCAGACCTTGGTCGGTCAGCAAACAGCTGGCTAGTGTGGGCTATTGGTCGCTCGAGATGATGATCGGTGATGATGGACGATGCGATGACACTTGTCAGCTGCTGTTGCTGATTCTGATGCTTCCGCCAGCAACGGGCAGGATCAGAGACGGTAGCGGAACGAGTAGAAACGCTGCTGGAGCATGCCGTATTCCGTCAAGCTAGGACTGAGCCCTCTGAAGGGGGATCTGAAGGGGGAAAGGAGCTCGAGACTCTGCATCTGCGGGTGCTTCGGCGTGTCAAGCCAGCGTCTGGTCTTCTGACAATCTCGCATCGCACGCCGATATTGTTCTGGCGTCTTATGGCCCCGACGCAAGCTTGTTTCCCTTTGGACGTTTTGCGATGGCCGTTTTATCCTAAAGTAAAAGTGCCATAGGTACATAGTCACATAGTGCAGCTGGTGGCGTGTGGAATCTTGGTTTCCGTCTCGCGGACCTCACAGATTTTGGATCTTTCGTCCCGTGTGCGGCGGCCGGAAGCTGAGGTTATCCGCTGCAATCTGGACAAGATTGGGCAAAGCGAGACAAGCCTTCCATCACAGAGAAGTGTAAAAGACGATGATGACTGGGGGATGGTAGAGAAGCGTGAGGAGGTCGGAGGGAGCTGGGGTGACCGTTGAAGGTGTTCCTGAGTCTTTCGCCCAACGTTCCATTGCTGTCTCCAACGACAAGAGGAGTGGACATCAGCTGAAACATCTGCAGCTTCTTGGGTGGAGACTTTAGACCCACCCTCAAACCCAGAGAGTCCACACCTTCCTCCTTCCTCCTTCCATCACACCCAGGGGAGCAGGTACGTATCTTTTCTCTGTCATCGTGAACAGAAGGGAAGGGAAAGAGCCACCTCGCGGAGCACAGGAGGAGAATGGAAGGGGCGGGGGACGTACCCAGGTCCAGGTCTCCATCCTCAGGCTTCCTTCCATCTTGCACCTGCCTCGGACGGATACTTTGTCATGTTCTTCGTCTCGTCAACGTCCTTCACTTTTTGTCCAGGTTGCTTCCCCTTCACGGTGGCACTAGCTCCGTAGGCTGAATGACTGGGCTCGACTAACGGCAAGGCATGTATGTGTGTCATGTCTATTGTGGTCAAAGTAAATTGTAGAGAGTGCGTATGTGTGTGCCTTGTGTCCTGTGCACACTTGCGTAGCCTCTACAGATACGTGGTCGAAATGAAGGATTCAATCGACCGATGTGCTGATGGGATGGCCAAAGATGGGACAGATGACATACTGGTTGGTTCTATAGAGAGGGAAATGCCCTGTATCAAGACATCTTGTTTGAAGGAAGATGCTAGCTATCGCCACTGTGGTTTATTGCAAGTCGTCATGGTTATGTTTTTTTTTTTTTTTTTTTTTTTTTTTTTGCAATATGGCCTTTCATGCCGCGAGACTGCGATTATTCACCATGGGCTTTTCTTGGAACAAAATAAGAACGTAAATTAGTTAGACTCTAGCCATAGAGTCCGTGGCAATTGCCGTGTGATTAGGTGAGTTATTCTGAGCTTCTTACCCCATCCCACCATGTTCAGGACTCAGGAGACACGTCCAAGTATAGTCACGACCCCTGCACCACTTTGCCCCTCACCTTGCTCTACCGTGGCCCGTAACAGACTTGTCCGTATTATTGTCCATGTATACTCCGTACTGATAGTGGAGGCTAAGAATGTTCCAGGAGCAAGACAGAAAGGGGAGCCTCGCCCGGCCCAACTCCGTTTCGTGATCCTCGTGAGGGTTTGTGTTGATTTCAGCCATGGGAACTTGGGAGGGAAGGCAGGTCCAGCGAGAAGAGACGTCCCTCTCTCAGGCACCAAACTCCAAGGCCCTTGGGTACGGCGTGCCTCCATGAGGTGGATGCGACGTATCGGTACCTTGGGCATGGAGACGACGGATGACGGACGGCGGGCGCCGGCCCACGGAAGGAGACGTCCCACCTCTTGTCGTCCCACCACTGCCCGGCCCCCCAAAGGAAGGAAAGGACTTCCTGTAGGTAGGTATGGACGGAGAGAACGGTTGGACTTGGCAGGCAGCGGGAGAAGTAGCCCCTTCCACCCGGTTCGACCCTCAAAGCCCGATCTTTGAGTTGACCTCATCTTCGTCTTAGTGTAGTAGGCACATAGGCGTGTTATGTGTTAATTATGTATCCGAACAAACAGCCGTATGCAGAGTCTCCGTACTCTCCATTTTTGCCCACTCACCTTTGTCACTTGTAAAGTTGTGAACCCCCCAACTCAATCTTCGACCCATCAGCCAAGCCACGGCGCCACTTCGACATGGACCAGCGCGCCAACCCCCCTTCGAAGCTTCGATAAGTTGGAACCGGCATCTGAGCTGGGGCCTTGAACATGGACATGCCATGCCCATGGACCTCATTCTCGACTTCGACCTGGACTCCTTGGCCTAGATTCCGCCACACACAGCATCGACTTGGTACGCTACGGATACAGGACCTGGATCGAAGTCTGAACCTCACCTCATGCAGCACGACGGATCCCATCTGATTCTATGGTGGCCCCATCTCCCATCCCCCCCGCCGTCCGTAAACTCATCTACTTACAACATTTGCACCTTACAGAGAGTACTTTTGTGCGGACACGCAGCAAAACCATCTACTTACGACACGTACCCTTCCCATCAATCTATGAAGCAACAGGCACCTTTCAAGTCTGAACTTACTAGCGTCTTTGCGTCCCCTTGACCGTCGACATATCCCGGATCGATCAAAGCCATCTCTGCTCTTCGCTAGGCTCTAGACTCTGGCAGTGCATCAGAGCCTCTTCCTTCGCCCGCCCGCCCTCCGTCCCTCCCCCCTTTCGTCCCTTCATCCCCTCCTCCACGGCAAGCTGACTACATGCCACCGCAACCATGATCCATCACTGCCGCTGCGATACGACGCCATCCAGCATCCGGGCTACTCTATCCCATCCCATGCTGCCAGTTACTACTCCTTCGACGCATCTCGATATCCCGGCTTGCAGCAGCCCCGTCTTGAAACGTGGAGGCAGATTCCCATGGGCCAATCGCAAATCGCACATTCGCAGCCCCGGTATGCCCACCACGGATCGTCCGCCGGCTACGTATCGAGACGGCCGAACTTGTCCCATGTCGCCGCCGTCCTACTATACATCTCTATGCGGCACCTGGCCTCGCGACTGCCACACTATGCGATACCCTGCAGCACATCAGCCCGCATCGCGCTGACGACGGCTCTCACAACCTGCTCGTTTTCATGTCGCCCTATCTTTCATATACTGCCACGTACCGGTACGGGTACCGTTAGTCCTTAATATCTGACGCGCCTCGCTCTGCCCCGTAGACTACTGTACTTGACGGAATAGCCTGCAGAGATAGCACGCCATCCTTACTGCACTGATCGGTCGTCGTCAGAGTCTCGTCGCTACGGGCGAGCTGACGCTTCCCACAAGCTCTCACGCCATACGCTGCTAGGTGGTGGGTGGGCGACCCAACGCTTCGTCTCGTCTTGCGTACTACGTAGTGTCTACGGAGTAGTTGGCTGCACTACATTGGCGCAGGGGCCATGATCCCTGCTGTCCGTAGGCCAATGGCAGTTTGGCAGCACGCGACTGAGAGATGCCGTCCCATGGATGATGGAGCTCTTTTGAGCTGCCAAAACTACGACGACATCACAGCCGTTCAGGGCTATGCTCACAATTAAGAATCCCATGCGATGCGGAAGAGGGCCTCTGAACAGCCGCGTTATCTTAGATACGGATCCTGGACGTTAGCAAAACGAGGCATATGCACATGCGTTCCGGTGTGCAGCTGTGACGAGAACCAGACATCCATTACCTGCAGTCGACAAGCGGCCGCCTAGAGCAGCTACGTGCCTGTGGTTCGTGCTGGATTGGACGGTGAAGCAAATGGGAGTCATCCGTCTCCCGCCAGTTCGTACACCTCATCCGCCGATGCGATGCGCTAAGATGCATTGTCTGTTGTCAAGGGCCGGCTCCACGTCCTGAGCCTCAGAAGTGTCAGTGGCACAGAGCAAAGTCGCACTTGAAATGGCTTCAGAAGAAGCAGCAAGAGAAAGAAGAGCAACCAGCCAGAACAGCACACGGGCCTCATCACCTCGTGTTGTGAAGTGAGATGGATGGAAGGCCACAGACAGCAGAGACGTTTTCTACGGCGGAAGCACGGGCTGGCGTCACATCTAGTGGCAGTCGACAAGTTGAGACAGGCCCAAGGGCTGCCATTTGCCAAACAGATTGCCGCAAAAGTCAACCTGGATGCTCAGCTCCTAGGCTCGCACCCTCCTCCTCCCCTTGGACTGGACTGGCACCACCCAGCCCCCGAATCTCCGTCAGATTAGAGTCGGTCTCTTCTCTCTGTCACAACCCAAGCAACCAAGGCACCGCGTGGCTGCAGCGCCGTTGGATATTGCAACCGCAACACATGCACAAAGCATACAACACAATGGCGACAAAGGAAGTACTAGGCCGTTGGCGGGGTCTACCGTCTACCGCCGCCTATCGCCTCTCCCGGCCGCCCTATGGCTTGTCTTGGTGCGCCCAGCCATGTGGTTTTGCTGGCCTCATCTGGTTGCTTGCATCTATCCAACCCGTCTTGACGGTATCACTCAATGGTCGCCCAATCGACATCTCATTGCCAAGGGGGGTCATGACAGCCAAAACACGCTCCATGCGGTGGCCACCGAGCGACATGGGCAAAACAATTGCGCCCCGGCACTCGCTTCGGCTTCTCCCGACCGACTGAACATTCACCTGCACATGCCCGAGGTCTGGTGCGTGCGTGCCCAGGGGATTCGGCCCCCCTCCCCATCACCCTCACCTCTCTAGCCCACGGTCAGATACCAATCCGGTCAGAGATGGCATACCTGAGCCCTTGTCCCCATCCACGGTCCACCCCATCACGGATCCCAGTCTCGTCAAACGAAGCACTTCCTTGACAAGTTTCACGCCCAATCCCGGGTCTCAGCTTGCAGATCGATGGATAATCTGTGCCTCAGGGCCTCCCATTTGCATCAACCGAGCAGCCGCAGCACAACCACCGAAGAGCGACCTGAAAGAACGGCAAGGAGCCATTCTACAACCGCGCTCGTTTACGGCATCTCTGCCGACCTTGAAGTGTGGCAATGGAACGACAAACTTGAGATAGATCCCGTCGTCCGCCCTGCCATGCCTATATCACGTCCATTATATCAATCGGCTTAACTATTTGGAAATCTAAGCCCTGCCCGGACGTTTCCCCTGCGGAGATCATGGTTCAGACGGAGTATCTGACGCCATGATCTACTACGGTCCAATCTGATGCACAAGCAACAAGCACAAGGCCACGGGGAGTCGCCCTAGTCACCAGCAATAACCAGCACGCCAAGCTCCCACGGCAACCATTCCTCCTCCAAAAAAGTACGCAAACCACCACTCAGCACCGTTCTCACCTGCGCCCTCTGTAGAAGCAGGATGATAGCAGGATGATGGTCCCCGACGATGGACAAGCTACAGGCAGTGCACCCGCACTACCACAGCACAGCACAGCATAATAGAGCCCCGAGCAGCAAATGTGAAAGCTGCCACTTCTCGAGCCAGTTACACAAATCACCTCAACTCAAGACAATGCCCCCCCCCTGTCCCTGGAAGTGGACATGGACCCTCGTCGAGACCAGCGGCCAGTCGGGGGCTTTTCTTCCCACCGGCGTGCCCAAACCTACTGTGGGGAAGTCTAAACAACGACGACATCCCTTCCCCTTCAACGCATAATGCCCAGCATCCTTGCGTTGCCGCAAGTGGAAACTCTGATCAGATTCACTAGCTCTCCCACTCTTCTCTTGCACAGTGATCATGCTGGCTCCCGTTGCGAGCCTCCTCTCTGTCCCCATCTTTTCCTCCGATGCTTGCTCGCGGCTTTCGGGCCTTGCCCCTAGCCTAGTCGTCGGTCGTGGTTGTTAGACTTGGGAGCCCTGACCTGACAGACTGCGGTTGGGCTCGGTCCAGCCATCCGTCGTCGTCCCTGTCGTCGTCGTCTGCTTCTTCTTTCATGTACCCATCTCAAGCGTATCTGACCTAGTCATGACATTCGAAGCTGCTGCTGCTTCTGTTGTGATCGTCTCTACACCCTCCGCCCGGATTCCTAAACAGCTACCGTCTTCAACCCCTACCGTCCCTTCATGCGTTCTCAGCACAGCCCTACTTCACCTCTGTCCCTGACCCCCCGGGCTCGTCCCCGTCTCTCGCTGACCATTCGTCCTATCTTTTGTTTCTTCTTCTTGTGTCTTTCCGGACACTGGCCTTGAACTCCCCCTTCACATTTCGACATCATCCGCATCTGTCTGAAGCCTGCCAAAAATTCTGTCACTATTTGGTTTATGTCGAGGTTGGCGTGTGCCTCTTCCATGGCATGATAGTACTTGCGCTCCCGAAACGAAACTTTGACGAACTTCGCCGAGCCTCTTGCCGTTGTTGACAAGTACTCCCGGAGGAAACGAGCACCGATTCAGATTCAACCTTTGGACTGGAATTGTCTTCGCACTCTTCTCGAAGCACAAGATCACGACGTTTGGGAAACAGCCTCGCATTCGGAGCATCAGGAATCTAGAAAAACCGCACCAGCGTTCGGCAAGCCACTCTCGCGTGTCTGCACGACGTCTCCTACTTTGACACTGCCACCCGTCAACCCCCTTGATCGTACAGCTTTGGGGCCTCAGCTACGGTACGAGGAAGTCACTGTTTCCTCTGCTCTGTTTCTCTCGGTTCGAGGTCGATCCGACATCTGCGAACTGCCAGGGCGTGTTCAAGCTAAGAGGTGTTAAAGTCCCTTTCGGATGACCCTTCAAGTACACCACTGGGCGACTTGAAGGTGTTTCGGCTGTTTCAATCCGCTTTTGGAACTGTCAGTGCGACTCTGAAACGGCGATCCCAACGATAGGTCTGATATTCTTATCGTTTGCTTCTTAACTTGTCATCGCCTCCTGTACTACCCCTTCCCCTTCCCTCGTCGCCTGCCCGCCTCCCGGGCGCCACACACAAAAGCTTTGGGATCTCCCATCAACCTTATCGCTTCCCTACGCTTCCTCCCACCACTGTCACCTTACCTACCTGTCCCCCTAGTTGTGCGACCTTCGCAACCTGGGTTTAACAGACGACGAGTATCCGATGTATCGGACTGGATCCTAGAGATCGGACATTATCTTCTTCTCACCAATAACTATCATCGACAACAAGAGACAGGTTCTCGACAACTAAACTGAGGATTACAAGTTGGACTATTACGAACTGAACATCACGATACCCGGCGGACGTAAAAGAGGGAGCTTTCAGGGACACATATCACGTCACCACCCCAAGGGACCGCCAAACTGGATTCGTTTCGGCGACAAAACTTCTCCCACGTTGTCCGCGCTTGAGCGATGGACGTGACATCACTACTGAACGTAGCGGCGGGAAAAAAGCCATTTATTCGGGACAACTCACTCGAAACCACTTCTGTACCGATTTTCCAAAGACAAATCACCACATCGTCCCCGGAGAAGACAGCTTCTTCTAGGCGGACAAGCGACGCTAGAGCACCGCGGAACCGCACGCCATGGGATGCGGGCGGTTACTCTCTTCACCTAGCTCTTGACAACAAGTTTCCTGCTTCCCACACCAAGCCTACATACTACAGCGAATCCGACGTGGATCAGTCGGCTTCCACGAGCTCTTGCGACGCTCCTTCGTCGAACTGCCATTCTAGGGCCAGCTCTCTCAGTTCTCTGGCACACGAGATGGCGCATTCCGCCAACATCACTCCAATGACGAGTACCCACCCTGGCCGGTATGTATTGCATGGTCCCGTTCTCGGCGCAACACTGGTGCACTTGTGTATTTGGACGACCTCGTAGACTGACTCCCTCGCGAAGCCTGGCATACCTAGGCGAGCCAGAGTCGCAACTTCATGTTGCGACTAGCCGAAGGTGAGCCAGCTTGGGAGGTTGCCTGGGCTCCTGACAGTTTCCACTATCGTTCTTAATAGTACACAGCGGCTAACATTTCCAAGGACTAGCATTTCCGGTGATTCGGATGCTCAACTAACAGCAAGGCAAGTACTTGGCGCCGTCTTCCCTGCCGTTGCGCTGGCCTTATCTCATTGAAAGGCGATTGTGTTTCCACGGGATTATCTCGTCGGAATTGCAAGAGTCTCCATGCTACAGAAAGGTGCTCTCGTTTTACCTGTAGATTCTAATCTCGTCCAGGCCCAACCTCCCCCGCGAAGATGATGGGCACCACGTAACAGGAGGATTTCCCAAATCCCCGAAACATAAGTTCTCCGACAGCCACAGCAGTTTGTCATCGTATACCTCCTCAAATCAATCCGGAGGACACTCGAGGATATCCTCCTTATCTACTGTGAGCGGCATTCAGCCGTTCACGTCCCTGTTGAACGACGTACCGGCTTTTGACACAAAACTCGATCACCAGCAGGGTATGGGTGGCCCGGGCATGATTGATGTTCAGCCTCCATCCCCACGAACGATGGGTCAACATGATCCAGTAGCTTTGGATCCCGCGATGAAGGGGACTGGGCGACCAGGCAGTCCGTCAGATGCTATCTTGATCACCAGAGGTATGGGTGGTAGCAACCGATCAAGTCCAACTGATGGTTTGAGGTACGTGAAAATATGCGCTTTGTGATTTACTCATTCCCAAATCTCGCCCTCGATCTCATGAGTCTTGAGTTTGAAAGAGATCGCTGGCCAGGAGCAGTTCGCGTTCAACTCTCCAGATCGCGCTTTTCCATCACCTGGCTCAACTCAATCACACCTCCCCTATCCTGATTTTATTTTACCAACTACTATTCGTTTCACTTTACCTACCGTATCTTCACTTCACCCTCTTCATTCACCTCACGATAGCCTCGACCTCACGTGAATGAACTTCACATCGAACTGCGATCTCACACGTGACCTGACCGGGTCGCTCCTTCCCTTTCATCTGACTGTGAATCGAATCTGCGGTCCAAGGAGGCCTTGTGATTCACATCGAATTCCCTTTCACCACCTTGAGACCGCCTTGAGCATCACGATAATCCTCCTTCTCCAGCCTATTTAAATCACCGTTCGGAGACTCGATCCCTCTTCCCCCTTTCCTCTCCATCACACAACTCCTCCGTTCTTCCTCCAAACAAACGAGATCCTTCGTTCCTTCTACTTTCTCCGAACAATTCAGACCGCCCAATATTACTTAAACTCCATTCCGAGCTGGACTCTTTACTGATTACATCGAGCAATAGCCCTCACTCAAAACAACAACAAGACAACCTCAACTACCTATCATTACCGCAAGATCAATCTTCAAGAACTCACAAAAGGGCTGTTTCCGCGCCCGATTTTGCCGCTATTTCTGCGCCTACCTTCCAACCTTTCCCTTCGGTTTCAGAAACAGCGCCTTTCCCACCGCAACAGCAGCAACCTTTCGGTATGTCGCCTCCCGATTCTCCCCCTGCCGTGTCGGGCAGCGACGAGATCAAGTGTATGTACATCGAGAACTGCGACACTGGATCTCAGCCTCGCAAGGCCATCTCGCACATCTTTGGTCGCAACAAGCTCTGCACCCGCATGATTCCCGCCCACGTCTGGGTTCATTTCTGCCGCAAGCACTACCAGCGAAGCCGTTACCGCAACGCCCATGAGTACTCAAAGCTCCAGGTCGATCTTGTTCAAAAGCAGATCGCCAGAGTTCAGCAGTGGAGCGACGAGAATGAGAGAGCTGGCAAGGCAGGCGTGGTGAACAGCTGGTCTCTTGCCATCCGCAAGCGAGAGCAGAAGCGATTGGAGGACAAGAAGGAGTCGAAGAAGCGTGCCTACCAAGATGAGTCCGAGGACGAGCAGCTCGACGGTGCTATGCTCAACGGCACTGCCGTCCCCGAATGGCTCCTCAGCAAGTGCGGTGCTGGATACACCACTGTTGCTATTCAGGAGATTGTCGCTCAGCTGAAGACCGAGATCGACGGTGGCAGCCTGAGCCAGATCCCCGACATCGAGATCCTCCCCACCATCAGCAGCGACGGCCCCGATGAGAAGCCCAAGACCTACCTCAAGCGCAAGACAAGCGGCGGCGCTGCTCATAAGCGTTCCCAGTCGATGGGTGTCGCCTTGAGACCCGAGGCAATGCCTATGGCTAGACGTGTCAGCCAGCCCAATGCCTACTGGGGCCATGACAGTAACCACACCTTCTCATCCGGAAACTGGGTCCAGAATACTGATATATCTCTAGCCGGCTTCTACGAGGATCGCAATGCGATTCCCGGTATGCCTCGAGTTCCGTCTGGCATGCGTCGCATGAACATCCCGCACCGCCCTGCCTTTGGCAACATCCGCGAGAACCATCCTGAGGAGGATTACTACCGCCAGCCCCAGATGGGCTCCGGCCCCTTCATCTTCGGTGCCGGCGGTCCTCAAGGCGGCCCCCTCCCTGCCCCCACTCCCCAGCGTCGCGGCAGCAAGTCCATGGCCTCTCACCTCGAGACCTCGACTACCATGCCTACCTATCCTGACCCTCGCCGGGCATACCACCAGCGATCTCAGAGCGAGATTGGCGGAGGCTTCCACCAGGGACAGGCTCCCACGTACCGACCCAACTCGTCTTCGGGCTTCGCTCCTTACGGATACGCCCCCAACCCGGTTGATCAGCAGCCGCAGCAACAGCAGCCGCAAGACCAGTACGATGGCACCTACCCTCGTCCTCACGACAACCCATTCGCCCAGGCTGCTCAGCCCAACTACTATGAGGATCCTCAGCGGCAGTACGCCTACGGCGCTTCTCCGTTCCAGCCGAATCCCGCCGCTCGCCTTGGTCCCGTTGGCGCCAACAGACACACCCGTCACCAGAGCACCCCGAACGCACCCCGTGCCATGCACCGCGCTCCTTCTGCGCACGGCTTCGCGGTGGCCCCAAACCAGCAGGGCTATGATCGCACTCCCGAGCACTCGCGCCATTCCTCCTACGCCACCCCGCCCATGCAGCCTATGCAACCCATGCAGCCCATGCAGTCCATGAATGACGGCACCCGTCATTGATTGGGGCAATCCGAGATCGAGACAAGAAACAAGCACTCTTTTGAAACGGCCTTCCTTATACCCGCATTCATGTCACGTCGACACGGCATCAAAATCGGAGTCAACATTGGGGGACGGCAAGCGGTCATTTGGTTTTCCTACACCTCTCTCTTTCTTTAATTATCTCTCTCTCTTTTCCTCCTCTCGTTGCACGGCCAGTTTTTGCATGAGGAATAGCGGAAAACAAAATTCACATTGTACACCACGGACTTTCTTTTATCTCTCTCTCTCTCTCTCTCTCTCTCTCGGCAAGGGCTTGGCCACGGACCTGCAGCCCTGGCAACGATCGAATGATGGATGACTGGACATCGCACGGATCAACGGCACACGCTTGACACAAGCAAAACTCGGGGGTCGGTTTTGGGTTTCTTTTTTAGAAAGTCCTAGATGGCCAGGGCAACTCTTTCACTATTTCCGACTCTTTGCTCCTCTAGCAAAGTCGATCTGGAAGCACGACTCGGGTGATGGTAGGGAGTGGAACTGGCATTTGTACGAATACGGACGGAGGCTGTCGGCGGTTTTGGGTGGGTTCTTCTGGCGGACGGACGGATGGGAAGGGACTGGGTTTTGGGATTCAGTATGGACCTGAAAACGGCGTTGGCTTTTCCGGTTCTTGCTTTTTTTTTCTTTTTCTTCTTTTTTGCCTCCAACGCGTTTTCCTCTCTCTTCGCTTCTACCCGTCTCCAGCTCTTCTGCAGTTTTCTGCCATTGGTCAGTTTTGCGGAACGGTTTTCCCCTCCAACTTTCTTTCTTTTCTTTCCCCTGACTTCTTTCACGCTCTTGACAGTGGGTCGTTACATCTCACGAATCAGTCCAAGTCGCAGAGCAACGATAAGTTGTCACGTGGAAAGACGACTAGATCTGAAAGGGAACCGGAGGAGAGTATGGAAGATGGCTGAAGGGCGGAATGAAGCGGACGCGAAACCAAAAAACTTTCCTTGAACCTCGTTTGATAACGCTTCGTCTTGCAAGGGCTTTGAACGCTTAGATAGCTCAGCCTAATGAAATACGCAGTTAAGCTAAGATCCTTCCCATACGCCTTGGTGTGAAATGATGTGATGTGATAGCCAAACAATGAAGTCGTGGTTGGCTGTGTCTTCTTTTGATAGATGAATAATGGGGGAAATAGATCAAGGGAGAGAATGCATGATTCCGAGGCTACCCCTGTGGAAAACTTGGACGATTCACATTATCTGATGTCGTTCCGTCTTGCAAATCTGCCTTGATCGATTCTCGATGGGTGGTTATTGACAAATATCTCGCCGAAAAGGTCAGGTAAAGTAGTACATTGCTGGAAAAGAGTGCCGAACCCCGACCCCTCTAGAGCTCTCTCTCCCTCTTCACAGCAGAATGGCGCAATCCACTACACCACCTGTAAACCTATCCTCGAGACAGAATAGGTTAAAGGTAAACCTAGAGGACTTGACCTCCACAAGCTCGAGTTGTACCATCACCACTTACAACAACTCTAGAGGACTTTCACTTGACGCTCAGTAAATAAAATGCGCCTCTTTCTTTTTGTATTTTTTTTTATAGGAGGGTTAGTTTCGTGTAGGATTAAGCACAATCACAACAATAGCCTATCTGTAACAGGATGGAAAAGGGTGTTGAGATGTAAAGTTCACCCTACAAAAGGTCTCTCTCCCGATGGTTTGGGTATGATTAATGAGCCCATGCAAACCGCACAAACTGCCGTTGCAGCATTGTGTTTGTCTGCTCTCTTCCAACTCTTCTATAAACGCTAGATATCAAAGAGTAAATCCCCGTCGCTCTCAATATCATAAAGTTATACACCCCGTGAGTTCATCTATACGTCGTCTCATTCATGAATTCCATTGACCCAAGAAGCCGTGCAAAGCTTCAACCTCCAGAGTCCAAGGTAGACCTTTCTCTTACTCCCTAAACATAATTGACCCGCCATCCCACTCCGCAAGCCTCCCCACATTCGCCCGCCCCTTGATCACAAACCCGAGCCTCTGATAGAACGGCTCAACCCCGACAAGCCCGATAAGCCACGCCGGCACGCCTTCCTTGTCCACCTGCGCCAGTCCCTCCCGGACGAGTAGCGACCCGAACCCGTTCCCCTGATCGCCAGGCGCCACCGCCAGCGTCGAAAGGTACCACGCCGTCTTGCGCGCCGGGTATTCCGGGTCCTGCGTCAGCACGTCCGAGGCGATGTGCGTGTCGTCAAAGATGGTGAGCATGGCCGGGTCGAGAGACCTCGGAGGCCAGAGGTAATCCGTGAGGGAGTTGATGCCGAGCAAGATGGGCTTCAGCCAGCCGCGGAGGGTGAGGTAGCCCTCGGTCGCGGCCTTCTCGGCCGGGGTAGGGTAGGGGCGGCGCCACCAACTGAACGCGGCGACGCGCTCGCCGGAGGCTGAGTCGGGGTCTGGAACGGTGAGGACGTGGAACAGCTGCTGCTCGGGACCCCAGTAGCGCGCGTAGAAGTAGCGGTAGGCGGCGGCGCGCCAGTCCTCGGGAAACTCGCGGCGTCGGGGGTGCATCTTGTCGACGGCCCAGTCGTTGCCGAAGGCGGCCATGTAGACGTCTACGATGGCTGCCGTGTCGGCGGAGGTT